CAGCTTAGCAGGGCCCTGGGGGGACACGCAGAGCCCGGAAGGGCCCGCCGAGAGGCGATTAACTTTAATATTAAGTTTGTAGTTTGTCAGATCATTCATTTTTATATTGTTTTATCCATTAGTGGAGGGTATCTCTTGACTTGTGTTTTTAATCAGAGCAGTGAGTATTATTTTACCTTGTAATACTAGTGGAATTAAGTTAAAGGAGGGACAGTTCTTTTATTGTGATAAGAGGAAAAGTGGTCTCATGCGAGAAAGTACCAGGGATATGGGATAAAAAACAAAAACATATAAAATAGAACCTGGTGTCTGTTTTCAAGCAGTATACAATGCACAGTCAGTGAGATAGATAAATGTTTAAATAAGGAAGATTGCAAGTACTGTAAAGTAATACAGGAAAATACAATTGCTCAAAGGAATGAATGGAGAGTAAGTCCTGTAACATTTAAGGAGAATAAACTATTTTATAGGTAGAATTTGAATAGTTAGATAAAAAAAAAAAAAGGAAAGAAAAAGAGACTAAAAAGTAAGAAATGTAGAGAAAGGATGAAGTAAAGAAACATTGGACCCAGCAGGTGGTGGTGCGATGGTTAAGACACTGAACTCCCACGTGGAGGACTGCAGTTTGAGTCCCAGTCCCAGAGACTTGAAACTCAAGCCGGGCGCAGGGGCATGCATGCCCAGTATTCTAAGAGGAGAATGGATGAGAAGAGATTGCAATGTGGTCATCCCCCTCTGAGGGATGATTTCTTGCTTTCTGTCTCTGTCTCTCCGGCAAGTGCATGTGCCCTGTAGCAAAAAATCTCTCAAAAATAAAAGAAAAATTACAAAACCAGGGAGTCTTTCTTTTTTTTTCAAAAGATATCTTTTATTATTATTACTGTTTTTTATATTTAATCACTGTATATCATTAGAACATTCAAAGTGAATTTTCCCAGCATGAATATAATGTATATTAGTCCAGGCAGATATGACCATACACATTATCAACAGATAATTTTCCATTTTTGTGTTCCTTGAATGTTTTGCTTCTTTCTTTTCCCCCTTGATTCCATCCCTTTCACTGTCTCCCATTTTCCACCCTCTCCCCATACTGTCTCCAACATCCACAGTTGATCTCTATGCTTTTATACTTTCCAGTCTTTCAGTTTCTGTCGTAGAGTGCTGGCATTTGGCATATATTTGTGGATATACCGTGCTTCTCTTTCATAGTTTGGCTTGTTTCCCTTAGCAGAAAGTTTTGCATATTCATCTACTTCATCAAATACCAAGGCCTTGTTTTCTGTTGTTTTTTTTTTTATGGCTGAGAAGTATTCCATAGTGTATGTGTGCCCACTTTTTCAATCCATTCATCTGTTTATGGACATATGGGTTGGTTACAGGTCTAAACAATTGTGAATAATGCTGCAGTATATATGGACGTGCTTTTCTGATTGGGTGTATTCTATCCTTCGGGTAGATACCTGGAGTGGAATTGCTGGAACAGATGGTAGTTCTCTTTGTAGATCTTTGAGGAACCTCCATATTGTTCTCCACAGTGGCTGTACTAATTTACATTCCCACCAACAGTGTAAGAGAGATCCCTTTTCACTACAGCCTCACCAGCCCCTATTCTTCCTTATTTTTTCAGTCTTAGCCATTCTGACTGGGGTTAGGTCGTATCTCATTGTGGTTTTGATTTGCATCTCCCATATGATAAGGGATGTTAAACATTTTTTCATACGCTTTTTAGCTGTTTATACATCTTCTTTAGAGAGTTGTCTGTTCAGCTGATTTGCGCATCTTTTAATTGAGTTGATTATAATATTTTTTCCTGATTAGCTGTTTAGGTTCCCTGTATGTTTTGGTTGTCAGTCTCTGATCTTAGGCATAGTTTGCAATATATTTTTCCATTCTGAGTGTTGTTGATTCACTCTAATTATTCTTTCTTTTGCTGTACAGAAGCTTTTTTTTTGGAGAGGTTTTTGCTAAAGGGCACGTGCGCTCGCCAGAAAGAGAGAGACAGACAGACAGAAAGCGAGAAATCACCCCCTGAGGGGATGGCCATGCCGCAATCACTTCTCCTCCATTCTCCTCTCGGGATCTTGGGCACTCACGCACACGTGCCTGGCATGAGTTTAAGCCACCAGGTCCGGGACTTGAACCTCGGTTGGCTACATGGGAGTTCAGCGACATAACCATTATGCTAACTGCTGGTCCCCTGTGCAGAAGCTTTTTAACCTTACGTAATTCTACCTATTTACTTCTGGGATTAATGCCTGTGCTTTGGGGGTCTTATTTAAGAAGTCTTTACCTACTCCAGTGTCTCCAGGAGTTTCCCCTGTGTTATCCACCAGTAGTTTTATAGTTTGCGGTCCTAGGTTTAGATCTAGATCTTTGATCCATTTTGAATTGATTTTTGGTTAGTGATAAGTGATAGAGGTCCAGGTTCATCTTTCTGCAAGTGGATACCCAGTTTTTCCAGCACCATTTGCTAAAGAGATTTTCTTTTCCCCACTGGATTATCTGATGCCCTTTGTCTAAAATCAGTTTGCTGTATGTTTTGGGGTTCCAAGTAGCCTTTTAATACGTGTACATTTCTTGTTTTTACTTTTTTTGCTCTTAGATTGTCTTATTTCTAGATAATATATTTAATAAAAATATTTTGTTATATTTCATTTCTCCAAGAGTCATCACTCTGGTATGCTTTGTGTCATGAGAGTGTCACCTCCATTACCAAGACTCAGAATTGATTTTATCTTCAGTCTCCTAAGTAAATATGCTACCGGTATTAGATACACCCTGGACACATACTCACATCAGAAGCATCAGCTTGAGACTGCTAATGAAGATGACGATGATACCAACCAGTCCGTGTCATCCATAGAAGATGATTTTGTCACTGCTTTTGAGCACTTGGAGGAAGAAGAGACTTCAAAGCTGTATAATGATGGTTGGTTTTTTTTTTACTTGACTTTTTTGAAGTGGGTGCATTAAAGTTTAAAGTTCAGTTTTGAAAGTTTGATGGCAAACTTACTTAGTTGAAATTTATGTTGAGATTTAAAATGTTTAAAATTAAACATTTAACCTCACTTCTGATTGCCTGAGGAATTAATTTCCTTGTTTCTAAGTTCATTGTTATCTGGTTTTCAGTTTTACTATTTCTCTTCTTGTTTAGGTGGCACTGTACGAGCATTGTGCACTCATGCCTCTGTCTGGAACATGCTGAGGTGCAAATTCCAGAAGTGCTAGTGTCAGAGATAGTATAGTCATGTTTCTAACATGCATGACAACATGCCGCATATTCCGTAGACCAGGTGTCCCAAACATAGGGTAAAAAGAAGTTATTTTAGTAAAAGGTGTATTTGCTTTCAGGTGTTACTTAGGATGAATCTTTGTTAAATGGCATAGTTGAGAAGATACTTACGTTTCAGGTAGATACTTCATATTTAGTTATTTATTCCAGTGGTTTAAATTAATTTTTAAAAAGTTCTGTTCAAGAATAATTTAATCATTTTCTTCTTTTCCTGTAGGAATAAGCATTACTACGCTAAGGAGTCAGTGTGATGCTGCTTCTCAAACTGTTTTTGGTCACCATTTAGAAACTCATGATTTGAGAATTCTGGCTAACTCTGGACAGCAGAAGTCATTGGCCAAACCTTCAATTTCTTCAGTGAATGTTCTAGGACATAAAGAACTCCCTTCAGTGAAAACGTCAGTCACAACATCAATTTCAGAGCCTTGGATCCAAAGGAGTTTCTATAGGTCATCTAATGCTTCAGGTAAAGGTAGTGATTCACAGAAAACTTTTTTTTCTTCTTCTCCTGCCTACTCATCTGAATCAGAATGCTCAAGCCCAAGTCCTGTTATTTTTTTGGATGAAGAGGGATACCAGAAAAGTTTAAAAGCAAAACTTGAGCTGCCTAAAATTCCTGTGATGAAAGATGATATAGAGGATTCAGACTCAGAAGTAAGTGAATTTTTTGATAGTTTTGATCAGTTTGATGAACTAGAACAAACTTTAGAGACTCCTTGCCTACTCATTAAAGATCCTATCATAGGGAAATCATTGCAAAAGAAAGGGCACAAACATGGAAAATCTTGTATGAATCCTCAAAAGTTCAAGTTTGATTGTCCAGCTCTCCCAGCTAATGTTAGAAAGCCAACTCCTCGTAAACCAGAATCTCCATATGGTCACCTGTGCGATGCTCCGGATTCTCCTCGCCCAGTGAAGGCATCTGGGGAGGATAGTGGGTTGTTTAGCCCTATTCGATCCTCTGCTTTCAGCCCTCTTGGCAGCTGCACTCCTGCTGA